TCCAATGTCCCTTCCAACTCTGTTATTCTATTAATGACATTTCTTCACTAACTTGAGTGCAATCTGATTTTCTCATAGTCTGAGTGTTTTTAAGTTTTGAACTTTTACTAAACATTTTATAAGGTATTACCAATAGAATATTTGTAGCTCAGGGCTGAACTCTTGAACTGTGGAGTCCTTGGTGCTCTGTTAGCATAGTGGTTTTCTTGCAGACATTTCATTACCAAACTAGGTAACATCAGCAGTGCAATGATGTTCATATGTTCTGAAGAGAAACCAGTGGCAGAATCGGGCAAGCTGTGGTATTCCCTGTGACACTCTATGAAAGTGAAAGTTATACTTTGAAGAAGCATGAGGGGAAGAATCGTAAAAGAATGAGAATGGAGGCAGGGGGGAACTTTTACTAAATATAAAAAGTTTTGTTGCATATTTATTTAGCAGTGACTGCAAATTTGTCAGAATTTGGAACAGCAAAAGCATTTTGAGCAGAGCTTACAATATGCAAAAGATTTTTGTCTCTACTTTTGAAGATTGTATTCCAAAGGGTTTTGCAAAAAAGTACAAGATTAGCATCTCTGTTTGGAGAATATCCTAAGCAAATCCTAAATTAATACAAAACATAGCGGATAAAATAAATCATATTAATCCAATGTAAACTAGTGCCTTTTTCTTACTTTTTTTCAAAACTTTTTTTTCCAGATCAGATCAGCTTAAAGATCTTGCCATAGTTTTCAAAGGCACTTCTGTTTTGCTTATTTCATCTCCCATTTGGAAAACTGACTTCAAGGAGTCAGGTCTTTTAAAAGGAAGTATATCAGAACAGAATTTTGTGGTGTACAAGTGTGTGTGTGTGTGTGTGTGTGTAGAACAGAGGTCCCCAAACTTGGCAACTTTAAGACTTGTGGACTTCAACTCCCAGAATTCTCCAGCCAGCCTTCTTAAAGTTGCCAAGTTTGGGGACCCCTGGTGTAGAAGGATGTGGGAATCAGCTTCCCATTTGTAACCAAGATACTTGGATTTAACCCTTTATTGCTTTAAGAAGATCTTCAGAAATCTGGGGACTTTTCCAGTATATGGAAGTAAAGATTTTCCAAAATGGTTTCCAGTTTTGAAAAATGCAAAATCTTCTTCTGGAAGAATTTATTTTATAAATAAATATTTATTTATTTATTTATTCAAATCTGAGCTGAACAGATTTCCATTTTTATACCCATTTTGAAGGAGAACAGTTAAGATAATTGAAATCTGTCTACAGAGAGACAGACAGACAGAGAGAGAAAGAGAAGTATCTATTTATCATCTATCGAGGTCTACTTACTTTTTATTTATTTGTTTATTTGTATCCCATTTATTATGTTTACAAATAACTCAAGGCACCAAGCATATCCAACACACCTTCTTCCTCTGATTTTCTTCACAGCAACCAGTGAGGTGGTTGGGTGAGAGAGAGTGACTGGCCCAAAGCCATCCCAGCGGGCTTTCATGCCTAAGGTGTCAGCTTTGGAAGCCATATTTTACCTAGAAGCTTCAAGGCTGCCACATCTTAGTGCCTGGGAATTTGGGAGGGGAAATTTCATGGAGGGGTGGAAGATTAGACAGAACACCATTCTTTCTTCTAAAGTCAAGGACAAGTTATCCTTCACCTGGAAAGGAGTGGTTGGAGGAAGATCTCCAGTTGGGACAATGGGTGTGATTGGACTATGTGATGGACTGGTGGGTGCAGGGGGTGGGTTTCTGTTTATGAAGGGAATACCCAGAACTCTCAGATTCGGGTTTTCCCAGATGTGCCAATATGACTTCTCTAATAAATTCTTACTTGGATGAACTTTGTTTCTGAGTGCTGAACGAGGTGGGGAGTTTCGTTGGAACGCTGACATAAGGTGGGACTAGAACTCCCAGCCTCCCCCTTTCTATGCTGGTGCCTTAACCACTAGACCAGGGGTCACCAACTTTTTGGACCTCAGGGACCACCAAACTCATAATTTAAATCCCGTGGACCAGAGACACTGGGAAATTCCCCCAAAAAGTCTGCAGGAAAATTCTCCACCCCGTTTTCCTACCAATCGATCGTTCTTTATTTGGGATCGCAGGATACTGTCTCCAGCTCCGTTCCCAGGGGGAGAGAGAGAGAGAGACTTTTGGCTCCATGCAAGGAAAGCAGCAGAAGCAGCAAAAGTCTTTCTTTCTCATTAATCTCTGGATTAATGAGTCTTTGCCGACGCAGTCTCTTGGAGCAGGATGCCTTGCAAGGTCCCAAAGACTCATTTCTGGTGGAGTTTGAGGGAGAGAAAGAAAGACTTTTGCTGCTTTCCTTGCATGCAGCCAAAAGCAGAAGAAGAAAAAAGTGGAAAGAAGCAGCCCGATGGCCAGGCATGGCATGTGGGGCAAGTGGGGCAAGTTCCCCCCTCCGCCGTTTCCCTCCTCCCCTCACTACCTCATGTTGTTCGCAATGCAAGGGACGCAAGCCTTGCGTTCCCATGGGCCATGTTCCCATGGGCGCAGCCTTATGTTCCCATGCAGCCTGGATTAATTGCTTTGGGGGGTGCTTTGGAGGTGACATTTCTCTGCGGACCACCAAAATTTTCTCACGGACCACCAGTGGTCGCTGGCCCACTGGTTGACAACCAATGCAATAGAACATGCTGGCTCTACCTTTAATGTTTGGGGGAGAAAAACAGTCTCCCTCTCTCTCTCATCTCAAATAGCCTGTTAGTTAAAAGAGAGTGGAAGGTTTTCAGAGAAATCCCATAGACTAGGGAAGAGTTCACCTTGGACTACAAAATAAACCAAGTCAGCTTCCTATTATGAAATGATGGCACCAACCTCCAATTCAGTCTGGCTTTTCACCCCCGTAATCAAGAGCCATCTGTCTTACATTTATTTGCTTCATTATACTAACTTGACTTTGTACCTGGCTTCTAGTTGATAGATTAATACCATCTGGAATAGGTTCAATATATTGAACAGCAAACTATCGATCTGCTTCAAGTGAAAATGTACATGGCAGGTGTCATCACGATGTAGAAAGAAGCCTGATTTTTATGGCACACAAGCTCTGTTGGGTATTCTCCTCCTCTTGGGATTAGAATAACGAGAGGGGAGAGAATGGATGTGTCAACCAGGACTTTTCCCTTTGATGCACCCTTGTTGATCAGTTCCACTGACATCTTTGAATCAGAGAGTAGATGTCTGCAAAGGAATCTCAATTAAATCGTTGGGATCCCATTGCAGATATTCTAACTCTGGAATATTCAAAATAGCAAGAAACATATTTATGTGAGACCCTAAAGGTGTCAGATCCAGGGGTTATGTTAAGCCTAGACATCCTGCATTCTACCATCAGTCTTAATCAATCACTCATCTTCAGTGGACTGAAACCAAAGATTTCCTTCCTTTACATCAAGGCATCCAACTTGGGCAACTTTAAGAATTGTGGATTTCAATTCCCAGAATTCCCCAGCTAGCCATGAAATAAACCATCTTTGACCTTTGGTTTGTTAACAGAATAACACAGTTGGAAGGAACCTTGGAGGTCTACTCCAACCTCCTGCTCAAGAAGGAGACCTATACCATTCTAGACAAATTGTCGTCCAATCTGTTCTTAAAAACGTCCAGAATTGGAGCACCCGTAATCTCTGGAGGCAAGTTGTTCCACTGATTAATTGTTATCACTGTCAAGAAATTCCTCCATAGATCTAGGTTGGGTCTCTCCTTGATTAGTTTCCATCCATTGCTTCTGGTCCTGCCCTCAGGTGCTTTGGAGATAGGTTGATCCCTTCTGCAGCCCCTTACATATTGGACCATTCTATCATGTAACCCCCTAGTCCTACTTTTCATTAAACTAGACATACCCAATTCCTGCATCTGTTCTTCATATGTCTTAATCTCCAGTCCTTTAATCTTCGTTGCTCTTCTCTGCACTCTTTCTAGAATTCCAACTTCTTGTTCTTCTTATCTCTATGAAAACAATGAATCCACGGCTAAGACAAAGAGAAAAAGCACTGGCAGATATTATACTTCTTCTAAGGAACTTTGAGGTTATTTTCAAAGCCTCTGATCAACCCCCAGGGCAATCTTGCTTGCCTGTTGAATTCAAATATAATTTCAATTTACTTTAATGAGCATAATCGTTCAAAGGAAGGCTTAGGCCATACCAACATCTTCACTTGCAGAATTCCATCTGAAATAATTGCTTCTCCAATCTTTGAAGGCTATGCCAAGGAACAGAGTTCCTATTTGAGCAACTGAAAATAAAATCAGCCAGAGTAAGGGATGCTGGTATTAAAGGCCTTGCATGGGGCATGTCCCAATTCATACAGCTCAGATCCTTCTCAAAGTGTCTGTTGTTACAGAGATAGAAGAAACCAGCTCTCCACAGTCCTGCTACTAGTGTATTAACTGGGACAAGTAAATGCAAAAAAGGCTGCGACTCTTCAATGATGCATGCAACCAAATAGCAATGGCCATCTCCCTTTCCCCTACCCCCATCTTTCCAACTTGGTGCTATTGACCTCTTCTTGACCCCTCTTTTTTTGTTTGCTTGTCTGTTTTATTTGTGTGCCTTCCAGTTGGTCTTGACTTCTGGCAACCACATAGACAAGTCCCTGAAGTTTTCTTGGCCAGAATTTTCAGAAGTGATTTGCCATTGCCTCTTTCCTAGGGCAGAGAGCGAATGATTTGCCCAAGATCACCCAGATGACTTTGTGCCTAAAGCAGGACTAGAATTTATAGTCTTCTGGATTCAAGCCCAGAACCATCATTTGTCAATCTAACACTCCATCAAAAACCAGCCCTTTAATTTTCTTCCAGCTTTCTTCTCCCCAACAAAGAAATTTCTGTTTTTCTACACCACTCTCCGTTTAGTTTAATGCATCTTTGACTCTACTTGGAGCTCATTTTATTGTTTCTGCATTTTGCAATGGCTGTAGTTCGATGGAGGCTGCTGGTAGTGATTTGTTTTTTTCCATCTGATATTTTTCTTGAATCTGGAGCAGTCCAGGTGGCTGATCCCCTTTCCTGTTCTGAAAAAAAAAAATCAGGGGAAGAGATCCCTCCTCCTATCCTCTCTTGGGATTGACTCAGGCCAAGAAGGGCACAGACCAACAGAGAGAAGATTGTAATAAGAAAAACAGGACACACCAGAGACATTTCTTCCTTGACTGCCTGGTAACTAAAGTAACAGCAAGGGATGTCATTGTCCACCACTCAGAATTTCTCCAAAATGTTATTCTTTCTTGAAAAGGAAGAAAGAAAGAAAAAGTTATTCTTTTTTCATGAAGTGAATAAAAATAGTTGGAGACTCTCCTTATCTCCATACGAGTTACTTCTGATGAGATGGAGGTGGCTACATAAATTTAATAAATAAATAAATTGCTTGAACAGCTTTTGAAGGCCACCTAACCATCTGCCCATTCTGCTGCATGTTTTTCTTTCTTTTCTTTTCTTTCATGCACACTTCCTATTCCACCTTCTCAATGTCTCTTCCTCCAGTGAATGGCTTGAATGAATGTTGACTGAGATACTTCTGGAAACATCATTGTTGCTGCAAGAAAAAGTGGCTGTAATTTACAGGAACACTTTTTGTCACCTTTAACTAGGGGGTCCATGGGGACTTGTCCACATATGCAAGGTGATAAATGCAGTGTGGTGATTGAAGACCCAACTCGTTTGTGTGTGCGTGTGCCTGCATGTACAACTCTGTGAGCAATCCTTGGTGTTCTCTGAGCTTGGTTGCTTTCTTGCAGATGTTTTATTACCCACACTAGGTAACATCATCAGTCGGAGTGGGAGTGGGAGAGGAGGAGGAGGAGAAGGAGGAGGAGGAGGAGGAGGAGGAGGAGGAGGAGGAGGAGGAGGAGGAGGATGACAACTGTGCGGTCCTTGGTGCTCTCTGAGCTTGGTTGCTTTCTTACAGACATTTCATTACCCAAACTAGGTAACATCATCAGTGTTAAGAACTCCTTGCTAGCACTTAACAATTCCTTACTAGTACTGATGATGTTACCTAGGTTTGGGTAATGAAATATTTGCAAGAAAACAACCAAACTCAAATAGCACCAAGGACCCCTCATTTCACCTACAAATAGTCTCCTTTAATGGTACAATACTGTGCCCAGTGTCTTGTGGAGATTCTCCCATAATATCTCAGATTTTTCTACTAGCGCACCAGCTATTGTTCTTCCTATACTTCAACAGCTAAACTACTCTGACCAAATATCCTGGAAACCTTGTAATTTGATTATTGTAAATCCTTCTAATATTGAGTTGCCCTTGCTATTACAAAAGCAGTGCCTAAGGGAGTATCTTGCCCATCTAACTATGACCACACAAAGTCATGATTTAAACTGTCATAGCAGCCAATTTTCCATTGGACCGTGCTTAAACATGGGAATCCAAAGGAGTGGAGATACAGGTAATATACGTAAGAGGTTAGTGCAGCCACCAACTTCTTTTCACCATACTCTGCTGATTGTAAGTTCCCTGGGGACAGAAATTATTGGTTTTATTGGTGTATCATTTTCATTTGAACTTTGATGTGTCATCTTCCATTCACCAGGGTATGTGTTTTTCCCTTCTGTGCTGTGCTGGCTTTTCTCAGATGCTTCGGTTGAGGGTAGCATCATCGAACATCAGGCTGCATATTAAATGGGCTAATCTTTCATCTGAAATGTCATTGTTTCTGAGCCTGGCAGCCTTCACACCATCACCATTCGTGAGATGTGTGATAACTTTGGGAGAAAACGCTACATTTTCTGACCCTCTGTGGCTCATTTCTTTTGCTTTCCCTCTCCTGTAATTTTATTTCATGTTATTTGTCCAGCAACCTAATTCATCGGGCCGTTGTGCAACACACAAGGTTCCCAGAACCTTCTTTGAAAGATGGTGTGTTTAACCTATGAGAGAAAGCTGGGTCAGGACAGAAGTCACCATGCTATATCTTTCCTATTTATTTCAACAGGAACTATTCTCGGGCTGTTGTGGGCACATAACACAACCATGCAACAGGAAAAGCCACAGCTTCACCTTGACTATGGCGATCTTGTTTGCATTAGGAAGTTCACCAATCCAATATTGAGGGATTTCTTTCGTTGTGGTACTTGCAAATTACCCAGTACTTTGGGCAGTTGCAATTCAGTTTAAAAATTAAATGTTAAATAAAAATTGATGATGATCCAAGAATACATCACATTCTAATTAACTGGAGGTTTGTCAGGCACAAAGATCAGGTCCACATATGAAGGTCCAATTAAACTGACAGCAGCCTATGAACAGGAATCTTTTCAACTAAAGATTAGCACCTGCTTGGAATTAAATAAGAGTCAGTGGAATTCAAGGGAGGTTAAACTTGAGTCATTTGTGACTATGTAGAGATTCTACTTTGATCCCTTTTTTGACTCCACCCTAAAGTTCTGCCACTCCTTCTCCTACAGGGTTGACTCCAAGAATTCACATCATAGCCAACGACCTAAAAGCCAAGGAGGTATTGCTGTAAAATATATTCTGTCCTAGTATGCTACCATCGTGCTTTGCAAGGTTGCTGGTGTTAATTCAAATTTTCTAAATATTTCCTTAATCCAATAGAAGAGAATATACTGGTATGGGGTTTAGGGTTGAACTATGGATTTTTTTGGCGTTCGTTGAGTTTGATTGTTGGCTTGCAGATGTTTTGTTGTAGAATCACATTACATCATTACTGTATGTAAGTGTGGAGTTTCCTACAGTAGCTTTTTCCACCAGTGTTGGAGAGGTGTGCATGTGATTTTCTCCTTGGCAGTTCCTTGAACAAAAAGCTAAGAAGAAAACAAAAAGATCAGAACACATCCATTCCAGTAGCCAGCACCAGATAAGCAAGGATTATTACCAGACAAACAATCAAGCAGAAAACAACACCCTAATCAAGGAACTATCAAAAACAAAACCACTCTCTCATCAACACTAGCAGTGTAAGCTACTGTGTATAAACAGGGAGCAAACTCCATATTTATTTACTTTACTTTTATTAACCCCGACTACTTCTATACCGAGGTAGTCCTTGACTTATGATCACAATTGAGCTCACAATTTATGTTGCTAAGCAAGACATTTGTTAAGTGTATTTTGCCCCATTTTACAACCTGTCTTGCCACAGTGGCAGAGGTGGTATTCAGCAGGTTCTGACCAGTTCTGGAGAACCGGTAGCATACATTTTGAGTAGTCTGGAGAACTGGCAAATACCACCTCTGACTGGAGATTTTACAGTATCCTTCCCCTGCCACGCCCACCAAGCACGCCCACACAACCGGTAGTAAAAATTTTGAATGCCACCACTGGTCATAACTCAGTTTTTTCAGAGCCACTGTAACTTTGAACTGTCACTAAATGAATTGTATTGCACAACAATGGAAAAATGCTGAGATCCCGACAGATGAGAGTGTAATAAAAGAAAAAAGAAAAATTAGAACGTGCAGAAATTGATAGGTTAGCTTACAATTAAGGAAAAAAGAAGAAACTGAATATTTCTTGATATGGGACTTACTTTACCAATGGTTAGACACTAAAAACAGAAGTTAGAAATATGGGGATATAAAAAGGACAAATGTTATAAAGGAGATTTGTTGAAGTAAATAAGTTAAATATTGTTGTTATGATAGAATTAATATTATTGTGATGAATACCATTGTAAACATCTTGATTATAATTGCTTAAAAATAATTGTACCCAGACAACACACTGTTTGATTGAATTTGGATTTTTACATGTTACATAAATAAAACATGAAAATAAATACATGAATGAATTGTTGTAACTCAAGGATTATCTGTATATTCATACAGGAAATCAGACAGATCCAAGGATGTTTTTCATCCAATCTTCCTACTTTTCACCTGGAACATTTGTTAGAAACTGCATAATCTGCTGTGTAAATTACACATCACCGCTGCCTTTCCAATGTTTGAGGGCCTGGGGAGCACCCCCTCTTCCCTGCTGTGCTTTAAACTCTCCTTCTGCCTAGAAAAGGTAGCAGCTTAAGATCTTCCGTTTAGTGCCATTTTTCATATTCTAGCCTAAGTTGTAGATATAGTAAGAGATCAGCACTTTCATTGGCTCTAGTTCAGAGCTTCAAACAGCCTGTGTCAAGGCCATCTTTTCATGCCACATACTGTCTATTATTCAAATACCACTATGACCACTTTTTAAAAAGCCACCCTGTGTGGCTCTTCGTTACCGCAGCTGTCCTTTACATCTGGGAAGTGCCGTCCCCCCCCCCTCCATGTCAACAGTAATTCATTTTAACAGCTGTCTCTTTTGACAAGCGCCATGTCAGACTCTCAAATGACAGGGTGACAGTTTTCCCTTTCTGTGGAAACAGAGCAGTGTGCAAATTAACCATTTGAATTCACCCTCTCTGAAAGCTTCAGGGTGGGGGAAGAACGCCATGCTCGGAATTCGCTGAATAGATTTGGGGAACCATTTGCATCACAGAAGTCAGTCTTTTAAATGGTTTAAAAAAAAAACACACAAAACCCACTCAAGAGGGCTTAACAAACTAGGCAACTTCTGTGATGCTGAAACTGTGCTGCAAATCACCCATCTCAATCTGGAAAACTGTTAGTTTCGAAATGAAATAGGTTTGTAAAATAAACATTGGATGTTGAAAACCAGCATGCTCTACTGATCTGTGCCACTCTGGGTGAAAGAGTGGGTGAAACTAGCTTTGGTTTTTACCGCTTAAGCTTTCAGGCCTGGCTGTGCGCGTGCACCATTTTGTCTGAGCTTCCCACACCCAGGCGCACATGCTCCAAGCTATTCATGTGATAATTGCATCATTTTCATTTAATGACGTACAGCTCGGCTCTAAATGAGCGCATCTCTTCCAAACTAGCAAAGATTTGGCTGAAAACGATATTGCTCGTTTGAGGGATTTGATGTCTCCATCCAACAATATGTGTGTGGTTCTTTCATAGCTCTGATAATATGGAGCCCTCCTCCCTGTAGTTTAGGCCATCTCCCACCTCCTCCATGGTGTCCAAGACTGTACCGATAAAAACCTTGATAGCCACATAGCAATTTAGAATATAGAATAATAGAGTTGGAAGGTTTACAGATTTACAAATTTACAGAGTTGGAAGAGACGTTGGCAGTCTTCTAATCCAACTCCCTGTTATACCATCTCAGACAAATGGCTGTCCAGGCTCTTCCTAAAAACCTCCAGTGATGGAGCACCCACCACTTCTCGAGTCAAGTCGTTCCACTGGTTGATTGTCCTTGACTCACAACCATTTGCTCAGTGACGATTCGAAGTTACAACGACACTGAAAAAGGTATTATGATCATTTTTCACACATGAGACCAATGCAGCATCCCCATGGCGATGTGATCAAAATTCAGATGCTTGGCAACTGGCTCATGTTTATGATGGAGGCAGTGGCCCAGGGATTACGTGATTCCCTTTTGCAACCTTCTGACAAGCAAAGTCAATGGGGAAGCCAGATTCCCTTAACAACTCTTTTGCTTAGCAATAGAAACTTTGGGCTCCATTGTAGTCGTAAGTCAAGGACTACCTGTATGTCTAGAAGTGTGGACACTAATGCTTGGAATCAGCTTTTTAATAGCAGTAGCACTTAGACTGATATACCGCTTCACGGTGCTTTACAGCCCTCTCTAAGAGGTTTACAGAGTCAGCCTCTCGCCCCCAACAATCCGGGTCCTCATACGCAACTCAGAAGGATGGAAGGCTAAGTCAACCTTGAACCAGTCAGGATTGCACTGTTGGCAGTGGGCAGAGTTAGCAATACTGCATTCTAACCACTGGGGAAGGAAGGGAGGGAGGGAGGGAGGAGAATAGCAACAGCACTAGCACTTAGACTTATATACCGCTTCACAGTGCTTTTACAACAAGTGGTTTACAGAGTCAGCCTATTGCCCCCAACAATCTGGGTCCTCATTTTACTGACCTCGGAAGGATGGAAGGCTGAGTCCACTTTGAGCCTGGTGAGATTCGAACTGCCAAATTGCAAGCAGATGGCAGTCAGCAGAAGTAGCCTGCAGTACTGCACTCTAACTACTCTTATCATATCATTTAACCTTTGATTTTTTTTTCCAAGTGGCCCCACTTACATTTTTTACAGACCGCTTTCATTTGCCATGGTTAAAAAAAAAACCAAAACTTATCACCAAACTTTACTTCCTAGGATTCTTATTGGGAAGGCTTTATATATTAGGCTTTGAAAATGCCAGAAGTATCCATAAAAAAGTGTTTGGGACATTGATTTACAAATGAAGGTAAGGTGGTGGAGAAGCAGGGGAGAGGTGTCTTAAGAGCCATGGTAGCACAATGATTAAGAGTGCAGTACTGCAGGGTACTTCTGCTGATTGCTGGTGGCCTGCAATTGGGCAGTTCGAATCTCACCAGGCTCAAGGTTGACTCAGCCTTCCATCCTTCTGAGGTCGGTAAAATGAGAACCCAGATTGTTGGGTGCAAGAGGCTGACTCTGTAAACCGCTTAGAGGGGGCTGTAAAAGCACTATAAAGCAGTATATAAGTCTAAGTGCTATTGCTATTATCTCTCATTCGTCATAATCCTGAAATTTACCAGGCTTTCTATTTGTCCAATGCTGAATGCATTGCCATTGCTATTTTTGGGGGTGCTCTAAAAAATGTATCCCCATATATCTAGTTGTGGTAGGGATGGTTTTGTAGAATCCTTGAGTCAAGTAATATCATCTTACTCTCTCCGTAGGGTATACTGGACAACATTTATCCTGCAAAAAAACAAAAATCCTGGTGTAACTTCTATTTGTATTCCTCTTGTCTAAACCTTGTTTGGATATACCTTTCCAGGTTGCCCAGTTCTGCACCTACCATCTGCCATGTATTAATTTCTGTTCTTTCCAGTCTCGTATATTTTCATTTTCAACCTGTTTTATTGGTTACCTTATGGCCGTAATAAAGGTTTGATTTGATTTAAGCTGCTCCATCCGAGCTTCTATTTTGTTGAATGTTGAGCTATATCGTGCTCCAGAGGTATATGGGAGCAACCTAGTTATTTAATTCAATAGGTCACCTCCACTGTAAATTAAGACAGCAGAGCCCTGGTATGACTGAGGCAAAGAGTTAGTTTATTTCTAGCAGTTAATATATCAAGGAGTTGCATGGAAAGAGTTCTAGATTTAATTCTTCTATTTCTAGAAGGAGCTGAAGAAATTTTTTAAAAAAGGATCAGTGCAGACAATAGACATAAGGTAGAGCATTCTAATTTAACTTTCTTAGCCTTTTAGCAATTCATAACATCTATGTTGACTGCCAGGCCATTAGATCCTTGTTAAATGTTGCTAGGATAATAGCATGCAGAATTGTTCAGTGGTTAAGTTTTGGTCTGAGGGCATTAGAATGTGGAAGCACCCTATTAATACAAAGATTAACTCAAAAGATGGAAATTATTTTGGATTTCTGTTGTGTTGTGTTGTGTTTATGGACTGTACTATTAAGCCCCTTCTTTCAGAGTGGGGATATTTACAATTAAATTGCTCTTATCCTGACTTTGGTCTATTGATAGTAATAAAAGTTGTTCAACTTTCTGCCTCTGAGATGGCCAACTAGGTGATTGTTTCAACAATCTTCTATCCTTCTATTTGTGTTACTTAACAACTTACTGCTTGAAAGGAATATTGTTGCTAATCCTAGAGATAACATCTAGCCATTCAGGATTATTTCTGTATTGGTTGGTTTCTCATGCGACTTCTATCACCCTGCATATTCAACTCAATAAACCATGGCAAAAATATGGAATGAAAATAGTAGCATTGTTGATGATTAACAACTGAAAGCCTGAGAAATTGGGGATTAATGCTACTCCCTAAGAAATGCATTCCATCACTTGGCAATGATACGGGAGACCTTATTTCATTTACAAATTTGTAATGAAATTACAATGTAATTTACAAAAGTCTGTTACAGATTTAACAGACTACTGAAAACCAAGTAGTCTTCAGAAGTGCTTTCCTGCAGATCTTAATATCTAGATGGGTCCATAACAGGGTCTGTCACCATTGCTAAGTTTACCTTCCTATATAACTTATCCTTTAAAAACAATCCAATTTGGTCATTAGCACTATCTCTCAGAAGAACATATTTTAACAGCATGAAGAAGCCTTTTCTTTGTTGGCCCATAATTTTCCTCCGTTCAGTTTCGTTAAGTCAGAAAAGAGCAACTAAGATGATCAAAGGCCTAGAGACTAAAACCTATGAATAATGGCTGCAGGTTTGGGGCTTGGGATGTCTAAAGAAAAGAAAAATTAGTGGTGACGTGATAGAACTATTCCAGTATTTGAGGGGCTGCCACAAAGAAGAGGGGGTCAAATTATTCTCCAAAGCACCAGAGGACAGGACAAGGAATAATGGTTGGAAAGTGATCAAAGAAAGAAGCAACCTGGAATTAAGAAGGAACTTCCTAACAATGAGAACAATTAACCAGTGAAACAGCTTGCCTTCAGAAGTTGTGGGTGCTCCATCACTGGAGGTTTTTAAGAACAGATTAGATAGGCACTTATCTAAAATAGTACAGGTTCTCCTGCTTGAGAAGGGGCTGGGCTAGAAGACCTCCAAGATCCCTTTCAGCTCTATTCTATCCCAAGAAAAGCCTGAAAATGCAAGAGAGGTGACTTGCTATAAGTAATCTTTGCTCATATCCTTCCTGTTAAGGATAGTTTGTCAGAACACAAGCAAAGAGGTGTGATTTTTATCTGGAGGCACTCAGCATCTCTACTGAAGTGTAAATCTTTTTCCTAAGCCACAGCTGGAGAGGTAAAAGCCAGATGACAAAGCTCCAAGGTAGTCTTGCCTTCCCACCTGCCTTTAAGCAACTGATATTCCTGACTGGGCTGCCAGTTGGATGCATACTGGGTACCCCTACTGTGGCCTATAAATAGTAATATCTTCTCTACGTAGAAAATGTTACCAAAAGAGAAAATAACTCTGAATAAATGCCAAGCAACAATGAACCAGACTCATTGTCCCTCTGCAGGGAAGCAAAAGATCTGAAAGATCAGAGGAGAAGGGACTGGATGAAGGAAACGGAGGTTTCTGATTGATCCATTTCAACTAGGTATTGTATCTTGAGTGCCGTTCTGGTTTAAGAATGTCATTGGAATTCTTGTTTTTGATACAAAGAGATGGTCAGTGGGTTTTGTGTTTTAATAAGAAGCCAATGAATTCTTATTTACTGAACTTTTATACAAATTTCAGTATGGCAGTATCCATTATTTTCTTAGTTTTGCCAAGGGGTTCGTAAGGATGATAATTTAAAAAACTGGACAAAAGTGTGCATTTTTAGAAAGCTAGGCAATGAAATATGTGGGAATCGCTAAGAAAACATGCCAGCTGTTACAGAGACATGAATACACAAAACTATTCAGAAATCTATATATATAAAAGCAAAATACCACTCAGGCATCATCACAAAATCTCCACAACTGTAAAGCCTACAACTTGAAATTTAACACTTAAATTCCTCTTGATTTCTAGGTACTCACTAAGAAAGGACTTTTTGAAATGACCATCAGAGCATTATTATTTCCTATATTATTATTATTATTAACACGCTCTGATGCTAAGGAGTTCTACTTGCCCTCCCCACCTGAAAAGAAATCTCTTCCAAATGCAAAACACAAGCAGAGGAGAGGAGTTTCAGTTTCAGTTTTAGTTTCACAGCACCAAGCAGCTTTAGTACAGAACAGTTGAGCTAAGCCACACCCAGGCTCCTTGCTGTCTCCTTCTTGCTCACACAGCAAATACTGCTTCAGTTTCCAAACAGCCCTCAACTCTCTCTCACACTGACAGGACACTAGCCAGATGAATATCAATGGATGCTGGTAGGCAGAGGCACATTTTTTTAACCTTATTTTCCTCCCCCAAAACTAAGCCCAATCGCAGAGCTAGTATTCCATGTAAATGTTCCTATAAGACAGACAGTTTGCAGTAGTGGTTAAAGTATAAGAGTTAGAAACTGGGAGACTGTGAATTCTAGTCCTGTCTTAGGCACAAAGCGGGGTAGGTGATCTTGGGCCAATCATTTTCTCTCAGTCCTAAGAAGTAGACAATGGCAAACCACATTTTTAATTTTTTTTTTCAAGAAAACTGCAGGGATTTGTCCAGGCGATCGACAAACAACAATGATTTGAATTGTCATTGTTGACTTACGACTTATTTGACAATAAATAAATAATGTTCCTTTCAGACTTGGGGGAAAGCACCAATTGAAACAGTAAATTGGTGTTGAGCAAGATAATGATTTAGGCTTTTCTAACTCAAAAGTTGGGAAAATGAGAAAGTGAGAGAAACTGGGGATGATGAGGGATTATAATAAGGACAGAAACTTTCATAGGTTCGGTGCTGAAATAATCTAGCATTAAATGTCAGGCTGTGTTAGACTTGCAAGGCAGTCCAGACAAACAACCCTGACTGTGAATGCTAACTCTGTCTTTATTGTAAGATTACATTCACAGAATCCTGCTACTCTGAAAGTTTTCCTCCCCTCCTTTTCTTTTATCCTTTGGTAATCTAGGGAAGAGCTCAAAGAGCCACAAAGGTCCTAACCATTCAATTCTGAAGCTGTCCAAAAGTCCGGTTCCACCACCATAGAGTCTCCTCCTAGCACAGCGTCCTTTTTCCTCTACCTGTCCTAACTGAAAGCCCTATCAGTTGTGGAGCCGACCGGCAACAGAGAGTTGCAGTAAAGAGATGAAAGAGCCACATGCGGCTCCAGAGTGTGGGTTGCCGACCCTTGATCTAGGGACATTATCTTCACCCTCCATTTTCAATCTCAGATTTCATTTATCAGAAAATTATCCAGGCTGTGTCTCTTCCTCCTGTCTCCCAAGGTCAGTCTCTCATCCATTATAGACTCACAGAGAACATGCTTTTGTACAACACAATCCGTTTAGGAAACTTATTTTATATATATTCATCAAATGTATATGCTGCTCATTTCACTTATGTAACTTATGTAACTTATTCCTTTTACCTATTTGCCAGGTCACCACTTAATTAGCATTCAGCCATCAACTCAAAATCATTTGTTTAAGAAATGAATGCCATTTGAAGAAACAAGCAATAGTTTTGTGCTAATTCTTGCTGTGTTTACATTGATTTTATTACTTCTCAGTTTAAATGTTAATGGCTTATATATGATTTAATGATTTCTTTAAAAAAACCAATTGGAGTTTAAAATGTGTAAGCCAATTTAAGGATAATATGATACTCTGAGGTATAATCTATATATGGAAGACACCTAGTTATATATTTTTATCCTTGGCCAGAGATGAGGAATATTGGAGACAATATGAGGACTTGGTCAGTTTTGTTAAAAGATTAATATTTGTTCATCTAAATGAAAGCTTGCAAATGTTCCATTCAAGCATAAATTGATTTCTTAACAATCACAAGTTTTATTTAAAACGATTCATCTAGATTTCATGCTTTTAAACTCCTGGGTCAAATCAGCTTCATCAATGTCATATTGATATATGAATTAATTTAATTTTTATCACTGGAAAACTGTTTGCCCAGTTTATTTTTTTTCACTATCAGATTTCTCCTTCAAGATAAGTGTGTATGTGTATATAAATCTATATATAAGTTATCTACCATAATAAATATAATTTGGGTTTCCCATACAAAGTACCAAATGTTACTATTTGCAATTGTGATTGTTTCACAGATTTCATCTGAAGAACTGTGGCACTGATTGATCACAGTAAATTATATAGATACACACACATATATATATATATGTGTGTGTACAGAGAGAGAGAGAGAGAGAGAGAGAGCCCGCTGAGCTTAGTGGTTTATTGCAGACGTAACCGATCACTTAGTTTGGCAATGAAATACTTTTCATGTGTTCTTCCATCATTTTAATTTAAATTGGCTTCTTTTACTGGTTTTTATGTATTAGGTAGTTTTACTATGCCCACTGCCCAGAGTCAATGCATGGGTGGTTATACAAATGTGGTAAATCAAGAAATAAGATAGTGAAATTAATATTTTGCCGAAATCCACCCTGCAGTTTCTTAGAATTTAATTTCCCCATCCAGGAAAATAATGTTCCATTTTTCTGAAATTTTTCAGGATGCTTGAAGTTTTTTTTATAAAAAAAGAAATTTTTAAAAAGTGTTTTTGAATTCATTTGAAATTGCCAAAGATGACTGCCGCCGTAGTTCTTGCAACATCCTTCTTCCTATCCATCTGAAGCCTCATTTTTATGTGCTTTCGAACTGCTAGGTTGGCAGAAGCTGGGACAAGTAACGGGAGCTCAATCTGTTATGCGGTGCTAGGGATTCGAACTGCCAAACTGCTGATCTTTCTGATCGACAAGCTCGGCGTCTTAGCCACTTTTAAATTCTCCATCAGATTTGTAAGCAGAGAAATGGAATAGAAATCTTTTTTTTAATGTTTCCAGGGGGAAGCAAGATTCTCAGACTTATTTTTGTTTTCTCCATAGCAGAGCTCTCTTTTAGCATTGCCAATAATGTCACAACTGGGGGAGGAAACTTTGGAAGAACACAGAAGAATATTTGTAGCTCAGAGATGAAATGAGAGGTCCTTGGTGCTGTTGGAACTTGGTTGTTTTCTTGCAGATGTCCCATTATCCAAACTAGGTAACATCATCAGTGCTAGTCTAACTAGAGTAACAGTGATGTTCCCTTGTTTGGGATGTGAAACATCTTTTTAGAATGAATGAGCTGGAAGGGCCCTTGGAGGTCTCCTAGTCCAGCCCCCTGCTCAAGCAGGAGAACATATACTATTTCAGATAAGTGGTTGTCTAAATCTTCTTCAAAACCTCCAGTGAGGCAAGCTGTCCTCACTGTTAGGAAGTTTTCTCCTTAATTCCAGGTTGTTTCTTTCCTTTATTAGTTTCCAACCATTGTTTCTTTTCTTCCTTCAGATGCTTTGGAGAATAATTTGACCCCCTTTTCTTTGTGGCAGCCCCTCAAATACTGGAATGCTGCTATCATGTCACCCCCTAATTCTTTTTTTTTTCTTTCAACCAGCCAAACCCAAATCTTGCTGCCGTTTTTCATATGTTTTAGTCTCCAGGCCTTTGATCACCTTAGTTGCTCTTCTCTGAACTTTTTTCCAAGGTCTCAACATCTGTTTTGTAGTATAATGACCAAAATTGGCTGCAGCAGTATTCCAGGTGTGGTCTTTTGACCTGCAAGAAAACGACCAAATTCAAAGAGTATCAAGAAGCCCTCAAATGTGGGAAGAGTTTCTTTGTGTATCACACACTTTGACCATTTATGAAAGCCCAGAAATCAGGGCGATTGCAAGTTGTCCCAGGGAAGAGTCTACCATGGAACACATGGTATTTATCCTTGAATTTATTTACCTCATTCCGCTCCTAAGATGTTTATCAAGTTTACCATTTCCTTGGAAAGGAATTTCCAAAGCAAATTCTCCTTCATCAAATGAACGGAGAAAATGAAAACCTTCACTGCGCAATCCTGAACAATCCCGTGGTTCTGTAACCTAATTTGTCTTCACCAATAATAATCACAGCTTCATGTTCTTCCCTGTGCTTATATGATTCAGTTAGTTTGTTTCCTCTCTCCCAGCTGCAGTTGGCCATGTATTGTTTTCTAGAGTTTCAAGTGGTGCGCAATATATGAAATCAATTATAAAATGAAAGCAGTGCTTAATGACAAAAATGCCATGGGGTGAAGGATCACCAGTACGCTGATGATACCCAATTATATATCCCTGCCCCCGGCGGATTAAGTGATACTGTGAATGTCTTATCCCAATGCTTGGAGGTTGTGAGGGTTTGAATGGAGAACAAGAAGTTTCAGCTGAACCCTGCCAAGACTGGGTGGCTTTGGACCTTGCAAGTTCAAGGACTACTCTATCTTTGCTGCCAGATAGCCTTGTGCTGCCCCAGAGACACACAGTGCAGAATCTGGAGGTCCTCCTGGATTCACAACTCCTGGGCGAAGAGCAAATGGCTCTTGTGGTTAGGAGGGTCTTTGCATAGCTTTGTGTTGTGCGTCAGTTGAACCCTTTGCTCGATCAGGGAGCTCTGTCCATGGTCACTCATGGCCTAGTCACCTGCTAATTGGACTATTGTAATGTGCTCTTTGTGGGGCTGACTGTACTGACCCAAGCCTCGTTCAAAGCAAACAAACACCCAACAGAGATAAAAGCAACACCTTTTTAATGCTTCTCTGTGAATTACATTCATTCACAGTAAAACGCTATTAAAAAGTAATTGTCCTAGAGAAGAACGAGCCTTAACAAGGTCATGCAAGGCTGCCAAGAACACTAAATTAAATTGCAAGGAAATAATCAAAACCAAAAGTCTCCAAACACAAACCAGGATAGTCCGAACTTCCACAAGACTTGAAGTGCAAGAACTTCTTTGCTTCCTGCAAAGAACCCCACCTCTGAGGGCCGGCTTTTATCCCTTAAGGGAGGGGCCATCACCTTGCAGCCTTACTCCCGTGTCGCCCATGCTTCTGCAGCTGCTCTTTCCTTTGAGCAGCCCCGCACACATGCGCACTGGGCTCAGGCTCCTCGGGGACCTCTTCATCACTGCTGCCAGCCTCCACAAGCTCCAAAGGCAGCACTCCACTCTCTAATAGTTCTGGCCCCATCCCTGCATCACACGCAGGCCCCTCATCTGAGTCCTTGCTCTCCGAGACCTCAGTCATCCGCACCTGCTGCCAACACTGACCTAGAAGAGTATCTAGAATCTTCAGCTCATGCAGAATTCAATATAATTCAAGATAAGAAGCACTGGGTGGAAACTAATCAAGGAGATGAGCAACTTAGAATTATGGAGAAATTTCCTGACAGTCAGAACAATTAATCAGTGGAACAACTTGCCTCCAGAAGTTGTAAATGCTCCAACACTGGAAGTTTTTAAGAAGAGATTGGATAACCATTTGTCTGAATTGCTATAGGATTTCCTGCCTAAGCAGGGGGTTGGACTAGAAGACCTCCAAGGTCCCATCCAACTCTGTTATTCTATTCTACTCAGAATGGGCAGTTGTTGCACTTTTAGAATGGCGCATGTTAACCTGGGCCACAAAATGCATTGGTTTCCAGTTGGTTTCTGGATCCAATTCAGTCAGGTGCTGGTCTTAACTTTTAAAGCCTTCCTTAGCCGGGTTAATGGAGGGATTGCTACATCAGCCATTCCCATCAGATCTTGGAGAAAAAGCAAGATTTAGGTCCAAACTCCCAGGGAAATACTCTTCATGGGGTCCCAAAAGACAGACATTCTCTGGCTTGACACCCATTTTATAAAATAACTGCCACCCCAAAGTGAGGTTAGCTCATCCCTGATAATTTTTATTTGATTTATATGATTTGTCAATTGCTTACAAGATAATAGGTATAAGAATAAACATGAGTATGAACACAGGAAATAGGTATGGATAAATGGGGACAATAGGACAGGGATGGGAGGCACGATGGTACACTTATGCATGCCCCTTACAGACCTCTTAGAAATGGTGTGAGGTCAATAGTGGATAGTTTAAGGTTAAAGGAGTGGGGGTTAGAGGATGTAACAACAGAGTCAGGTAGTGCATTCCAGGTATTGACCACTCTGTTGCTGAAGCTGTACTTTCTGCAATCAAGTTTGGAGCGGTTTACATTGAGTTTGTATCTGTTGTGTACTCTTGTATATTTGTGGTTGAAGCTGAAGTAGTCATTG